AGTCGAAGCCTGTGGCGCAGATGATGGTATCCACGTCGTTTGTTTCGTGACCGGATGAAGTGCGGATACCGCTCTTGGTGAATGCATCGACTGTGCCCCAAATTACTTGTACCTTTGGCGACGTGAGAGCCTCGAGATACCCATTGCCGGGCGTTGGGCGACGACATCTATGCCTTAGTAAGTAACTTTTCCCACCTTGTGATTTCTCTTGACTTACCCGACAGCAAAGTCCGGTAGTAGCGCTTGAAGCAAGTCCTGTCTCTCTCCAAGCTTGTTGGCCATCTCACGGATTCCATACTCGCGAGCAGCCTTTTGCTCCGGAGAATGGTTTACGTAGAGACCGAAACGGCTGTTGAGTTCCTGCTCGATCTGACGTCTATACTGGAGATATGTCTCTGGATCCTTGGCCCAAGCAGCCTTTTGCTCTTCGGAGTAGTCATAGTTCGATCCACCGGGACCTGCAAATTTGGAAGCGAAATTGGTGGTGATCCATGTCGGACTTCTGATATGCACATATATCTTCTCTGCGTCATTGAGTATGGCGGGTAGGATCTGGACACCACTGCTTCCATTACCGATCAGTGCTACTGTTTTCCCCTTAATGTCTTTATCAGCATCCTGTGGCCAGGCTGCTGAATGAAGCATTCTTCCCCCAAACAGTTGTCGATCTTTCACGTTGGGCCATTTCCAGTGATTGAAGAAACCGGTGCAGTTGATGAGGATATCACACTCTTCCACAAAGGTAGACGAGGTCTCACCCTCTGTAATACCTGGACTAGAAATGACGAGATCTCTACCGTCGGTCTTGGTCACTGTGACCTGCCAGACCTCGCGCTCTGGTATCCAAGAAGCATTGGTGATCTTGTGAGACGCTTTTATGTAACGCCGCAAATCATGCTGTTCGGCAACTGATCGTATGTACGATAGGATATCCTCTTGCTTGGCGTAATACGATTTCCAGAATGGGTTAGGTGCCCAGGAAAACTGGTAGACTGGTTATATTTTGGCACTCAGCGAGGTGGTTTGTGGTACACTTACTTGGTAATTAGGTGCTGGTATATCGCAGGCGCATCTAGCAGGTCATTAGCTTGAACATGAAACAAAGGGAGAGATTAAAGCGAGGTACATGGAAATCAATCAATAGAGAGAGACTTGAAGATTTCCCGTGCACAAATAGAGCATAGTACTGACCCTGGGTAACGATTCTCATACCACGTCCCTCCAACATCAGCATTCTTTTCATACACTTTAATACTAGCATTTTGTATATTACCAGTGCTAACAGCCCTGGCCATCGAAAGACCTGCAAAGCCCGCGCCAATTGCAATAATTCGCACTGGCCGAGGCGTAAACGTGGGAACTCGAGATAGAGCATAGGCCAGCTCATCAACATCCTTGTAAGCCTCTGTGCCTTCTCCAGGGTTGGGTGGTCCAGAAGCTAGACTCTGGAAGTGTTTGATGGCGCGGTCTCGCGAGCTCATTGGCTGATTTGTTGGCATCTTGAGCTTTGCCGCGATGTCTGGGAGCCTAGTGAACGAGAAGAGAAGGGGATGGTATTATGATTGCTTTTTTGCGTATGATTATGAAACTGTGTAATATTCTTAAATCAGCCAACGTCAGTCAATATATGAACAAGTTCAGGCTGTTAGTCATTCAGTCTTGGTCTCACTGCTTGCCGCGGCTCCCAGGTTTCGGAAGTTATCCAGTTCCGAAACCCCCAATCATAATTAGGTACGACTTCCGTGGAATTGGTCAATACAGCCACTTTTGGTCTAGGCACGATATAAGATATATGATAGTTACTTTTCTGCGAGTAAGCCTGACAACTTGGCCTACCTAAATTGACCTTTACTGGTTGATCTAATAATTACAGGTCGCTCATCCATCACATCACATCCTGATTACACCTCGTCCTAGTCTCTCTATACATTCTGTCTAAACAATACGCATCATGGTTCGCGACTCGCAGCTCAACGCCGCCGTGCCAGGCATCCCTTTTTTTGCACCAGCACAGGATCCAAGCACAGGGACTGCAAAACAGCTTGAACCAGACACTCCGACGATCTTCCGTCCCCTCAAGATCCGCGGCATCACGCTGCGAAACCGTATCTGCGTGTCCCCCATGTGTCACTACTCATGCGCCGCAAGTGGACCGCAGACGGGTGTCTTGACTCCTCTGTACTATACTACCATCGGCCACTATGCCTTCCGAGGAGCAGCGTTGGTCATGCTGGAAGCAACTGGTGTTACGCCTAATGGCCGTATCAGCGTCAACTGTCCTGGGATCTGGAACGATGCGCAGAGAGATGCTCTCAAGAACCTGGCAGACTTTGTGCACTCCCAGGGAGGTCTTATCGGGTTGCAGCTTGGCCACGCCGGGAGGAAGGCGAGCACTCTGGCGCCGTGGGTTGCCACTCGTATGGGACAGGGAAGTGCTAGGGCTGATGAATCTCAAGGCGGGTGGCCTGATGAAGTTGTCGGGCCATCCGGTGGCTTGGATTTTGTCTGGGATGGAAAGGCTAGTCAAGACCCAAAGGGCGGGTTCTGGGAGCCGAGAGAGATGAGTATTGGTGAAACCTCCAGCTTGATCAGAAGCTTTGCGAAGGCAGCAGAACGAGCTGTCTGGGCCGGTGTAGATGTACTCGAGGTTCATGTTGCCCACGGTTATCTCCTCCATCAATTCGTCAGCCCTATCACGAATCGGAGGAAAGACAAGTACGGTGGTAGCTTCGAGAACCGGATACGGCTAGTGCTTGAAATTATCCAAGCTGTCCGAGATGTTATCCCTGAATCCATGCCTCTGTTTGTCCGACTCAGCGCAACTGACTGGATGGAGAAGTCAACCCTGGGCAAGAACCTAGGAAGTTGGGATGTCCCCAGCACGATCCGCCTTGCAAAGCTTCTCCCTGACTTGGGCGTTGATGTCCTCGACGTCAGCTCCGCAGGGAATCATCCACAAGCCGCCCACAACGTGTTTGACGCTGGAAGGGAGCAAGCTGCCATTGCGGCGAGGGTGAAGGGGGCACTGGAAAGGGCAGGCAAGCGGATGATCATTGGTACTGTCGGTGAGATTACGGATGCCAACCAGGCTAGAGACTTGGTCCAGGAGGGCGCTGCAGGTAGTGTTGATCTGATTTCGGTCGGTCGGCAGTTTTTGAAAGAGCCGGGTTGGGTTTTGAAAGTTGCTCAGGAATTGGGCGTGGACGTGGCTTGGCCGCAGTTTATTTCGCGACCGCAGATATCTCAGATACTCACAAAGCTCTAAGCTGTAACATTTGTGACAGGAGAGTTGAGGTTTGGTAATAGATGGGAGATATGTATTTTTTTAGATCGTAATCTCTTACTACATTTAATGTAGATATTTCAATTATAGAGTATATACAGTAAAGTATATATATTAAGTAAGAAATATGATTTAAGATATATATAAAACTCTATGTAAATTTATTTATACTTTAGTCTTATTCTTGCTATTTTTACTTTACATGTATTCTGTAAAAATCATACTTTATTAACATACCCTGGAGGCTAGGCCAGTACTACCAGAACCAATCAGATAGGCAGACAATAATAAGACCCTGCACTGACCAGAAGAATGGAGACACGGAGCACACGGAGCAACCCGCGGAATCTGCTATCCCACGGAATCACCAATTCCGTTGCACCATTCCATCCAGAATGGCATATGAAAAGTGCGCCATAGGCTGGACAGCAACAGTGGGAGCAAACAGCCAACAGATCCGTGGATCTCGGCCAAAGTCTTCCGCCGATATCTCCGCCTTGGGAAATCATATACCTGAAGGTTAAGCCGCATCTTGATTAAAAATAAACACACTTGGCTTTTTGCAGGCCAAGCCTTATAGCTGATGTCGGTCAACGTACGCCCGAAATCCGTGTCCGACAAAGTCCGTGCGACTCGCCTCGAACTTGTTGATCGCCTCGAGAAACAATTAGCAAACGCCAAGCAATGGTATGACTTTGACAACCCTCAAGACTACCGAAAAGCACGAGCAGAAGGCACTCATGGGTTTGATCGTCTACAAGTGAATGACCAAGCCCGTTTGGTTTATGCTCCCGGGCGGGACGGGCAGAGGATTGAACTCCGGGTGATTGAACCGCCTGCACCCTCCAAGGGTGTTTTCCTCCACTTCCATGCAGGTATGACGACGCGATACGCCAGTGTAGCCATGGACTTCAAACTCAGTGACCTTCTTTAGGTGGCTTCGTCATTGGGAGCAACGCGTCTTACGACGGGTACTTGACGCGTATCTCCGAAGGATCCGGTCTGACCGTCGCGTCTGTCGAGTACCGCCTCGCGCCGGAGCAGCCATTCCCAGCTGGCCGCGATGACTGTGTGGACGCGGCCCTCTTTACTCTTTCTGCTCAGGGAATCGGTGATCTTGGCGCTCCCTTACGAGTAATCGGTGGAGAGTCGGCTGGTGCCTGGCTTGCTGTGGCTGTTGTCCTGGAATTGCGGGATGAGTATGGAATCGACGTCAAGTCACAAATCGCTGCAATCTGTGCGAGCTATGGGATATACGACTTGACCTACACGCCTTCCTTACTGTCACACAAACGGAACATAGTTATCAGTCGCGAGAGCATGATCAAGTTTTCGGAGGCGGCTTTTGGTCACATCCCGTTTGGTGAAAGGAAGAGACCTGATATATCCCCGTTGTATGCTGACTTGGGTAACCTGCCCCCGGCGCACTTCCTCGTGGGGAATATTGAACCACTACTCGATGATAGCATCTTCATGGCTGCCAGGTGGATAAACGCTGGGAGTGAAGCTGAGCTGCATGTTGTTGAGGGTGCTTGTCATGCCTTTACGCTATTTGCACTAGGTGACGTCACTAATGTTGGGGTTCAGGCAGTGGTGGACTTTATACAAGCGCAATTGCAAAGGTTTGCCACGTCAATACCTATGGCGAACAGCACTCAGTCATCTTGAAGGAGGGTGATAAGATAGCTATCGCAGAATTATGCATACCATAGAAAGACTAACTAGCCTCTATCTCACTGAACATCTCAGCTAATACTGAGCTGGCCTCAAGGCTAGATTCTGTCAACGGGTTTGGATTTAACGTGTCGAAGCTCTTGGAAAAATCAAATGTTTCTGTACTTGAGAGACACTCGACTTGATCAACCGGCATTCCAAAATCCATGTTGGACTCCGGAAAACACTCGAGCGGGAATAGGAGGTCGTAGTCTGGCCGTGACTCGTGGAAATTAAAGTCCAGCACGCATTGCAAAGCTTTGAACGCTCTGGCTGCCGACATGATCGTGGCAGACAGAGATTCCAGCATGCTGCCAGCTCGACGGAGCGCGAGCGGAAGTGCCTCAGCGTCAAGCGTGGAAACACCTTCACGGTGTCCGACGGTTAGGTAGTATATGGACTCGACCAGTGAAGAAGTGAGTATATAGCCAGCATTCGGGTTTGCGCCCCAGTTGTCCAGGTAATGGCCGATTGCATCCAAGGACTCGATAGAAATTCTCAAGCAAGATGCTGCTCTTCGAGCATTTGTCTCCGGGGAACTCAGCGTCTTTTGGCGGATGCTCAGTCTGAGAGATTGATATCTCTAGAGTTGCTTGATTAGTGCTGCGTTGCTCGTACCGGAGTACCATTTCAAGACTTACCAGAAAAACAAGAAGACGTCGTCGATCCTCAGGTTCGGTGGGAGATTTGAAAATGGTGTCGTCCACTGACTCTGCGTTCCATGATAACATGTCGGGGTATTGCTCCCTGAGAGCCAACAGCTTGGCATCGAATGCTTGGATTTCTACCCAATCACCCGCCATCGGTGCGTTGGGAGCTAGAAACCCATCCCATACCGATGCCCAGAGTCTAGCATGGCTGAACATGGTTTTCAGATACGTCTTGTCCTTCACGTCGATGTGAGGGCTAGTTTCATGTTCAAAATCCACATGCCCAAGACTGTTCCCAACAAAGTATGGGATCCCGCATTTCTGAGTGATGCGCTTGTCGAGGAAGTCTAGAGTAACCCACAATGCCAGGGGATCTACAAAGTCTTCTGAGGACGTAGGAAAGCCGTGGCTTTGGCCTAAGCCTAAACTGACAGCGGAATGAAGCCCGTTGAGGACGTGGGTTGAGGCAAGACGTAATCTCTCTGCTGCTAAGAGATACGCCGCGGAGACAGTGTGATAGATGACACAGTTTGTCTGCAGCTCACCGCCTTCTTCAAAGTGCTGCACGAGCTTCCGACTCTGCCAATACGCTTCTGAGCCAGGCCACGCTTTGTCAAGATACAAATCGGGACAGGCACTATCGTCCAGGTTCTGCCCAGCTGCGACGATGACGAGAACAATCGATATGACCAAGTGATGCGGCTCAGTGACGACAACAGACTGAGTCGTAGAAGAGTAGCGCAGTGCCTCCAGGGTCCGTGAAATCGCTTCTACGAGCCTCGTCCCGTGGATGGAAGGGAAGAAGCAGTCTATACCAGCTAGGCCTATCTTTATTGCCCGTGTTAGGTCCTTAGGGCAAGGAAGCAGAACAGTACGGCTCTTTGACGGGGTTGTGTTGGAGGGAAATGGATCTGCACCGACACTGGAGCGTAGATCGTAGATTTGCGAAGCAACGGCGAATCGGTTTAGCCATTTGTTCCCGGGGACGAAAGTGTCGGTCTCAGCACAGGTGAGCTCGACGGGCTGACGGCCATCTTGACAGGAGCTTGGCGATTCTTGTTCAAGATCGTGTGATGTACTCTGTGGTTCAAATACTTCTATGGATTGGTTCAATATGAGAGGATCATCTGGCGAGGGTGCGGAAATGTTGGTCTGGCTCGGGAGTGGCGGTGTGTTGTGCGAACTGAGAAAGTCGAAGCTGAGTGATTGCTGCTTCATCAAGGTATCCAGTCCTTGTTGCAATCGTTGAAGCTGCTCCTTGAGCAGTGCGGTCTCTTCTGACGCAGAGATGGAGAGACTTGAGGAGGGAACAGCGCGTCTTCTTGAAGAATGTCAGCTGCAGGTGCCCATTCAGACAACAGTGGCGCTATCATACTTATTTGTGCTTGACGATGTTCTTTTTCGCTTCCTCTTTGTAGATCCATTTGATGCATCCTGATAGCTACATTCAGCACCTCTGCCGAGACAGTTGTGGCATGGTGACTGTCCAGAACACTGCAACGATAGGATTAGTACTGAAGTAATTATACTGGTTGGGTAGGAGACTAACTTTGACCTTGCGTCGCTGGCATTCCGTGCTATGTTGATCCTGGTCAGCTGAAGTTGATGTAAATGCAAGAGCAGAAACAACTTACCAAGCATGCGACGTATACTCATCCCTCTTGCTAGATTTCTTTGCAGTTGAAGTAGAAGACATTTTTCGGTTCGCGCTCACCCCTCACATGTTAGACCGGGAAACGCGGGATTCAAGGTCCAAGTTGGTTGATGAAGAGCGCAACTGGCGGAGCGAACCCCATTCACTAACTACCTTAGTTAGGTTGGTGGCCAATTCCGCACCGAAGTGCCGAGGCAGATCCGCTAACTGCTTTGGTGTGCCACTTCCCCGCAATATCAAAACCTGGGGATAACTACGGCCGCTGAATAAATAAAATCCCGATTACTCCTGTTGGCCAGCCGCCGTTAAGCGAAGTCTTTGAGTGGGGTCCAGGGAACAGTTAGTTAAGTAGAGCTATAGATATTGTTCTTGATTTATTTCCTACATATATATCTACTTTAGTGCCATACTCTGTTAATGGAGTCCTGTTCAGGATAAAAGATATATTTCTGTTGTGATTATTCTTACCTAGGCGAGTGTCCTAAGCTGTAGTGAAAGACCGGGTGTCAGGACAGATGGTAGTTGATGATTGGCGACAGATAATAGTTGACCAATTCAGTCACGTGCAAAAATGTGGCTAGCTGAGATACCGAAAGCAAGTTTTGGCTTTTGAACTCTGTATTAGATGTTTCTGACTTCTGTCATATTGCCTGCTTTCCTATATCGATTATTTTCGAAGCATTGAGCTGTGCCTTGGGTCCCTGAAACCCATGCAATTGCTTCGGAAAGGGGAATCTGGTGGGAGGGCTTGCCGGCGAGGTCCCTTACTACCGACTCAGTGCCATACCATATTGCCGACAGTCAGAGTCGTGATGCCTGTGTAGGGGTGATCCTCTTTACTCTTTCTATCAAAGCGTCAGCAATTCTCGAGCTCCTGTACGGGTACTTCGTAGAGAATTGACTAGTTCTTGACTTGATCTGGCCATATCATAATGATGGAAGCAAATATATACATACACAGAGCATACTAGAAGGCAAGAGTACAACGAAGTCCGAAGCTGAATATGCCATCCTAGGGAAACAATACTCTTTGCAAACCCTCAAGGATTTTTGCCTTTTTCTCTAGCAATACGCTTGATTTCCGCAGAAACTTAATTGTCTTATGTAACAGGAAGCGCAATACTTCTTTGTCTACATATTTGTGAAGAATTGGGTCCCTAGATGCAGCCAAGAGCTGCAGAAGGTTACACCAATGACTATAGCCTTATCAGTAATCAGTATATTCAATTGGGAAGAGATAGAATTACGCAGAGGCCAAGCAGGAAATATTAGTGGTAATGAACATTCTGTCTTCCAGGCCGTCGAAGGCTTGCAGGCTCTCGCTGAGTGAGTGGATACCGTTTCTGGCTAACTGGATAATCTGAGGATCAATATTCGCAATTCTTTCGGCCTAATTTGGAGTTAATTATAGGTTCGGTGACCTTTTGTTCACAGTAAGGGTTTGCCTGAAGCAGAATGCGTCCTCATACCTGATTTCCTCCTAACCCTGAAGAGAATAGAACTTGTCGAACAAATGGCCGATAGATGATAACTTGGGCACCCCAGTACTTTGCTCGTAGCCTTGCTGCCAGAATATCATTGCAAGTGTCGTCTCCATAAGCGAAGTGCGGCAAGGCCCAATGCAGTCCTGAAACAGCGTTCGCCATTTCAGTAATATCCCCAAGCTGTTCTTGTCTTGTATAGGCCGATAAATTGAGAGTGCGAAGCCTCTTATTGACATCGTTTAGATGTTGTCGCAGAGACAACTGAGCTAAGTAGCCATCACAGACGCGCTTACTGAAGCCATTCAGGAGACGCATGTTTGGGTGCGGCATACTATCTTCATACAACAGTAGCCCCGGGGAAGGCGACTCAGTTTTGAAGTCACTTTGTAACATAAGGCAAGTCCAGAACACAAGAGCTAGCTGGTTATGCTCTATATCCTGGATGAGTTCGTCGTTTTGCTTGAATTTCCTCATCGTTTCTAGAAACCTAGAGCCTTCTTAGCCGATTCTCAACATTTCGCTAGAAGCCCTGCCACTTACGGTTGGATGATGTCTTGAAGTAAGTCACTTGCTCTCTGTATAAAAGCCAAACTATCCCTCGGCCTTTCCAACTGGCTACAGTAAAGGGCAGCAAAGATATAAGCATATACACTGTTTATGTCGGTCGAGTCGGGGTGGCACCTCAATATGTTTGTGGCGTAGGTGAAGTATTGGAAACCAACTGTTTTCTCAGAGCGTTCTTCAAACCCCAAGCCACAACAGAAACCGCCAGTAGAAGACTGATGAGCTCTTCCGTTCTGTTCGCAGAAGCAGCCTGGATGATTTATAGGGCAACTCTCACTGCTGGATGGGGAAATGTCTCCATAATGAGAGACTAGGCTATCGTACGAAAGCGGTTCAGTAAGATTAAGTACGTCGGGGGCTTGATCGCGCCGCGCGCAGATTTTACCCAACGCCATGACCATGACAACCAACGCGTGGCTGATAGACGTATCTGGTTCACAGCTTCGCGCTAATCCAGTTGGGAATAACTTGGACTCTTGGTTCAGCTTATTACCTCCTTCTGACGTTGGCGTACCTGGTTCCACAGAATATGCTGGCAGGGATATGAATAAGCTCGGGGGTTGGTTGAGAGACTCTCTGATCCAGTGATGCAAAAGCGAAGGCTGAATTATAGGGTGCATACGGAGAACGTGTTTCTCAAAAGCTTTGACATAAGCGCATGCTTCTGACTCGCAACAATGAGAATCGACGCTATGGTCTGAAGCACAAATCCCATGCTGCACTTGATTTGGAGTTTCAGGCCTATTGAGCTTGTCAAGCCCAGTACCTTGTGCAGCAGTTGCTGCGGTCGATAAGAAACCACCAAAGCTAGACTCAACACGGTAATTCGGCTTCCGGTCATGGCACTTGATGCAAGCGCGAATGAGCTTCTCAATATGAGGCCATTCTGAGTGTGGATCACTCCAAGTCGGCTGATTGATAAGACTAGAGAATTCTTGGAGAGACGCGTCGATATCTGTCCCAGCTTTCGCTTCGCCAATAGTTGTCACATAAATCTTGACAGACTCCGCTGGTGGATTTTCATAGGTAGGCTGAGGAAGATCAAGCTGAGAATAACCGCTTTTACTCGAAGGAGCGAATAGGGGAGCACAACTACACTCATTACCAACTGATAGTCCCGCGGTGGTTCCCAAAGTCGAAATTGTCTGAGGTTCAATGGACATTTGGGCTGCAAAAGCATCATCCAAGCATCTAGCGCTAGCTCGAGAAATACTCAACGCCTCATCAGTACTGGTGCTACACTTAGCTACTTATCCAACAAGGTGAAAACTGCGATACTTGCCTCGCGAGAATCGGGCAGCGATATATGCATTGCAGATTCCTTTTTGTACAGAGCCTGCATGGTTTTTGTTCGTCGCACTTGCTTTTCCTTTTGCGGCAGAGCTCGCATGCCTAACTCATATTAGCTATTTACTAAGTTAAGAAAATATGAACTAAATACGTTTGAAGTTCGCTTTTCTCTCTGTTTACGCACCAAGTTGCCCATTCCAAATTGATTCTTAGTAGTAATGATGAAAGACATCTGTAATTTAGTAGTAATTGAAAGACAAGTAATTGTATTGATTTATGCAACCGAAGGCTTATAGTTCTTAAGTTACTATTCTCTTTACTTTAAAATCTCCCTTTAGTAGAAATAGAGATAATTTAGGATGGTTTTTCTAATATCAGCGGCAGGATGGTGTCTTGTCTCAGACATATTTATGCCATTTTCGCTGCCGCAGGTCTCGGCCCCAGCCGCAATTAAGCTCTCGACCGATTATTCAGATTCGAATTTAGGTCTAGATCTAGCCCAGATCGTTATCTAAGACAGCTGTCTGAGGACATCTCAGCTGCAACTGCCCCTTGACATTTCACAACACTGTATTCTTTGACAAGGAATGCGGACCACT